TCCGCGCGCCCCGCGATCCTCCGTGCCTGGTCCAGGGCTGGCAGGGCCGACCCCGCTGCGCCGGGGTCCAGAATGGACCGCGCGGATTTGTTGGATCTGCGCTGATGGTCCTATTTTCCACCACCACCACCATAAGTTGGAGGGGGGAAGGAGGTGCGGGACGAGGAGGAGGACGACGACGAAGAGGAGGAGGAGGAGGAGGAAAGCCACGGGCTGATGAAGGGCCCGCCGCCGCGTGGGGTCGTGTCGCCCCCTCGTTCGGCCAGCCCCGTCAGCCCGGGCCAGCGCGCCGCGGCGCCATACAATAATCAAAGTTGAAGAGAAGCGCCGCGGCCGCGACGCCTAGGCTAATGAAAGACGCCCAGGCAGAAAAAATAAATTTGGCACAGGAGGGCCCGCATAGCGCGGGCCACGCCAGGACACTCCTGAAGGTAGTTGAGGCCCCCCGACTACTTGCAGATCATCACTCAGCCCAGCCCGTCGACAACATGGCGAAGAGCTGGAAGCAGCAGGAGCAGCAGCGCGGCGCCTCGAAGGAAAGGTGGTCAGGAGCAGGGACCACACACCTCGAGGCGTCGCAGCGCGGCGCTGGGAAAATATGGACAGGAGCAGGGTCCACAGCCCAGGCGCCCTCCCAGGGCCCAGGGGAAAGGTGGTCAGGAGCAGGGACCACACGCCCTGGGCCCGCCGTGGGGGAGCAACCATGGCCATGGCGGAGCTCCACTTTTCAGCAAATCTGATTCAAAAAAGAAGGACGCTGTCCACATCCAGGACCTCATCCTCAGCAAAAGGCAGCAGGCCATTGCCGATGCCGTGCTCGAGCTGCCTTTCTCCCTTTCTCGTGACCACGAGTCCTTCGGCCTCCCGCCAGAAGATCGCGACAAGAGGAAACTTTGGACGAGGAACCTGCAGCAGAGGCTCGGCCGTGTCGCCGACCAGATCAGCGGCGCCCAGTCTGCCAAGGTTGACGCCAGCAAGTTGCTTACGGAGGCCTCGGTCATCAAGTGTATGCTCGCGATGGCCACGGATCCACACGTACGGCTACAACAATATCGGTCTCAGATAGAGGCGCTGGCAAAAGAGCAGAAAGACATCCATGAGAAGAAGGAGGCTCTGCAGACAAAGGCGGGCACCAACGCCCAGCGCATCTCCGACTTGAGGCGCCTCATCACGGATGTCAAGCTGGAGATCGCCGCCGAGGCCGACACCGATTGCGAGGCCGACTCCGAGGACGACATCCAGAAGTACAAAAACAAAAGGGCCAGCACCCCATTTCGCCGTCGCGCCAGTCGAGCCTCCTTCGTCGTGTCCGAGCAGGCCGGCGTCCCCATCAAGCACCATCGCAGAGCAGCTCAGGAGGAAAGACGAGGAAGCACGCCGAGAAGGAAGCAGCCAGGCCAGCATCGCCAACGCCGGGCTCCGCAAAACGTCATAAAAATATAAGGAGGAGGTGGAGGCTATGCGCCAGTGCTTTGCCGAGCTGAAGATGCAAAGCAGAGTCAGGCTCGTGCGTCACGAGCAGGCGCTATCCAAGACGGCCATGAATGCCACCGAACAAGCCGAAGCAAGGAACACCGAGGCACTCCGCCGCCAAGAAACTCAGCAAGAGCGAGCGTTCCAGCATCGAGAAGAGATTGTTCATCAGTTCTACGCCGAGAAGATGCAGCAGGAAGCGCAGAGGATCGAGAACCACGAGCGCGCGCTGAGACACGACCTCGAGCGTCAGAAGCTCACCTACGAGCAGAAGCGCCAGGAGGCTCACTACATGCTCGATGCCATCCGAGCTGAAGCGGCCTCCCAGACTTGCATCGCATCTACCTCCGAGGAAGCAGCCCGCCAGCAAGCGATGAGTGAACAACCTCATCGCGAGTGCGAACGACTGCAGCGTGAGGGCCGGAGGATAGAGCAGATGAACCAGGACCTCCGCCTCGAGGAGCAGGCCGTGCAAGTCATGGCGGCCCAGGAGATGCAAAGAAAAAACGACATCGCTGAGCAGATCGCAGAAGCCCAAGCAGACCTAAAGCGAAAGGGGATCCACCAAGTGCACGCGATCCAGCAGCAGACCGCCACTGCCGCCAATATGCTCTTGGAGGAACACCCCACGGTCCAGAGGGAGCGAGAGGTTGTCTACCAGCAGGCGGAGCTCCAGCTCGAGGCGCAGCGCCACATCCAGAACAAGTGCGACCAGCTCGAAGCCGAAGAAGCGGAGCACCAACGGGCTACCCTGCAGCACCAGCTCTTCTTCCACGAGGCCCAGGCTCACCAGCAGCAGATGAAGCACAAGACGGAGTACGACCAGCATCAACGTGAGCAGTTCCTGGAGAGATACGGCCAGCACGAGGCAGATATACACCAGCAGCAGCGGCTCGCCAACACTGGGCTACAAGCCACAATTGCACAAAGACAATCACAGGAATAGCATCACCGTGAACAGCTTGCCGACAACAGGAAGAGCATCGAGTACACCAAGCACTTCTCGAGAAGACCCTGCGGGAGCAGCTCGACAGCATCGCGCCCAGGATCGACGCAGACATGCTCGACGGCGTCGCCAGCGCGCCCATCGCGGAAAACGAGAAGCAAAAGATGCAAGCCCAGGCCGGCGACGAGGAGGCCTGCCAGCGGGACAACATACGCTCCGGCCCCCACGCCATCGCTCCGTCGCACGAGTTCGACTACGACGTGACCCGTGAACCGTACTACGCCGAACTCGACCATATGGCAAGCCCGAAGATTGCAGGACCTCGCGGCGCTCCCTCATCATCAGGATCTTCGAATGGATTAACGCCGCCCTTCTACTGCAGCCTCTGCAAGTCTTGCGGCAACTACACCAGCGCCAAGACGGAGATCATCAGGTGCAGGCGCTGTGGGAGCGAGAACATCGAAGATCGCTCCGTGGACCTCGGCCACAACGGCGCGCACCCAGCTATCCAAAAGCTCCACCAGGCCACCGACCCGCACAACAACCCGCAGCCGCAAGCACCACCACGCAGCCCATCACCACTCCCACCACCAGCGACGACACCGCAACCACTCGGCCCCCTCATCGACCTCGCATCCCCCTCGGGAGTAGCTCCGACGCCAGTCGCGGGAGACGGAACGACCCCGAAGACCCCGAAGACGCACGAAAGATTCTTGGCCGAGACATCCACACCACTTCCCACGCGACTCGCTGAAGACCAGAGCTTCGACGACCCCGCCGACCACGAACCCGGCGACTCAACGCGCACCCCGACAGTCCGAGCATCGCCGACCCCCCCCCCCCCCGACGAGCAACCGACACCAATTGCCTCCTGGGGAGCAGGCCCCTTCCTGCACCCCCCGACACCCATGGCTGCCCCGCTACAGAGGGCGCAGTCCGCGCCGCTCCCCGACGACCCCATCTCCCCACGACACTTCCGACCGTCTCACGCACAGACCACCCTGTTGGGGAACCCAGACTCCCCCCCACGCTCCCCCATTACGCTCGAAGTCGGCCCCCCCCTTCGCACCTGCCCAACCATATTCCCCGATGCCACTTCCAGCGCGATTCCACATCGCCACTCCCGACCGTGCCAGATCAGCACCACCATCGGCACTCCGAAGGGCAAGCGCCCACAGCAGGCCCGCGCGCAAGGCGCGGATCCTGGGTGACGGCGACGGATTCGACAACCCAATGGACCGCAATCGCTTCAACCCCGAGAGTCAGGAGGGCAGCTCGGGTTCAAGCTCAGACACGACAAAACACTGAGCTGGACCCCCCCCCCCGCTGGGGGGCAACTGGCCCAGCGGGGGAGCCCCGCCACAACCTCGCCAGAAGACCGAGCACCTAGCCCGCCCAGAGTGTCTATACGTAACAACCAGCTCGACGGAGCAACCACTGAGCCCCAGCAGACGTGCTGTGCGACCCGTGCGGTGCCAGACACTCAGCGACAGGCCCAGACGCCCTTGCAGCCACGCGCCCCACTCGGGAGGCCGCCGACCGCCTCAGCGGTGTTAGCTTGTGGGTTAGCACACCGCGCGGCGCCAGCGGCCGCGCAACCTAGCACTCCACAACCAGCGACAGCGACGCAAAATATCAAAACCAATAAAAAGACCAGATTCACCACTACCAGCGAGTGGGTAATCTACTCAGCCGCGGCGCCTTGGGACCAGCACTACGACCCTGGCAGCGCGCAGGCACTAGCAACCGCGACTGCACCAACCGTCGGACCGAGGACCACCCCCTCGGCCGACAACCGCAGCGCACCAACAACCCCGCCTAGGCGGCCAGCGAGGCCAGGCGGGGCAAGCCCCCATCGACCCGACCGACCCGCTCCCCAGAGACGCGCCCAGCAGAGGGCGAACCAGGCGACCAGCCACTTGGGCCCAAAGGCGCCGTATCACATTTCTCCTGACGGGCCTAACGAAGAGCCCCACCAGGAGGCCAGCCGACGCTCAGGACCTCCAACGGCCCACCAGAGGCCAAGCCTGCCAACGCCACGGGACCAACGGCGGCCCCCCTGCATATGCCCTGGATGCGCCGTCAAGCGGCGCAGGCGCCCAGAGGAGCCGACGCAGCACCGCCCGTCCCCGCGGTGGACAACTGCATAGATCCACGAGGGACCCACGACATCGAAGCCACATGCCTTGACGCCAAGCATACCGACAGGGGAAGCGCCATGCAACCCTTCCGCTCTCGAACCTCTGCCGCCCCCCTCCCCCCAACATCGACGCGCCTGTCTGACGCCCAAGCACAGCCTCACACTGCGGGCCAGCGTCTACATCGAGTAAGAGGGAAGGCCATTCAACCCTTCAGGGATACCAACGTCAAGCACCCAGTACCACCCAACCAACCAACAACAACACCCGACACGCCACCCCCGCTGCTAGATCAGCGCAGAGTACAATTCGACGAGCGACCAACCATCCGACAAACGATACAGCAATCCCGATCTCCCCACATCACCTTTGACCTATGCAACGAGAGCCTCAACGAGACAGCCGACTACATGCTCCGTCACCACCCACAACGACCACTCCAGGAAGGAGCAAATATCCATCTCTTCATGGACGGCTCCAAAAACCCGAAGAAACCGGGCGACGACGCCTGGTCCGTTGTGATCGTAGGTGACGGCAACCACGGCTTCAGCTTCCAGGGAGCCACCATAGGGAAGCACAAGAGCGGCACCGACATCGCCCTCAAGGACAACGCCGAGCACGAGACCACCTCCACGACCGTCGCGAACACAGCCCTTATATTGGCCTTCGCCTGGGTGATACACTACAACCCCCACCACATCACCACGATATCCACGGACTCGCTCGGCGCCCTGCAGCTCGCGAAGAGGCTCGCCATCGCCGACCACGACCCCAAGCTCGTCAGGACACTCTGCATCCTCTACGACATGGTCAGCAACAAGATCGACTTGCAGCACGGCTATGCCCGCGACTACAACCCGTGGAACGAGGTTGCCGACGCCGCCGCCAACCGCGGACGCCTGCAAGAAGTTACACCTCCGACCTCCTCAGCCAGAGTGGGCAAGCGTCATGGACGGCGCATCCCAGCGGGACTGGGAGTTCCTGATCGACGCGGGTCCCACTTCCAGGGGGGCGCACCCCGTATTCGGACACGGCAGCCTCACAGCTAACAGGGTCGAGGCGACCGCCGATGCCCGACACATTCACACCCCCACCGAGTCCAGCGACAAGAAGATTCAAATTGAAATAAACATCGCGACCTTCAACATCCAGTCGGGGAGAGAGCCAAGGGAAGGATCGAAGCGTCGAACAGAGAAGAGCAATAAGTTGAAGTCCACGATGGCCTGCCTGTGCGACGAGGACCTCCATATCACCGGCATCCAGGAGGCAGGGGCGCCTTGGGGCGTCCGCGACGCAGGACAAGACGACGGCGCCAGATGCGCCAGCGCCAACTGCTACCACATCATCTCCAGCGGTCACAAAGGGTTCAACTACGGCTGCGAACTGCACGTTCTACTCAGCAGGCCCTACGGCAAGAGCGGTACAAGGGAGCTCTACCTCAAACCTGACCAGTTCACAGTCATCGCCAAGGAAAGCAGGCTCCTTATCGTCCGCGTTGCCGCCCCTGGCTTCAACCACGTGCTTGCCGTCGCCCGCGCCCCGCACTCGAAGGCCCTCGCGACCGAGAAGGATCGCTGCTGGAAGAAACTCGCGGAGACCACCGAAAGGCACCAAGCGAGCATCACCTTCTTCGACGCAAATGCCAGGACAGGCAGCATCACCAGCACGGCCACCTGCGACAAGGGCTTCAAGCAAAACGAGGACCCACACGGACACCGCCTACATGAACTTCTCCTGACCAACCACCTGGCCGCCGCCAACACCTTCGTCAGCCATGGGCCAGAGCACTACACATGGAACTCGGGCAAGGACCCTCATCGCAACGACTACGCCATCATCCCCAAGGGCTACATCGACTCTATCGAAGAGTGCGCCGTGCTCTACGGCATAGACAGCGGCCAGGGCCCAGAGACCAAGGACGACCACTACCCAGTCAAGCTGCAGCTTGCCTACCAGATCGTCTCGTCCGTCACCAAAGGAGCCCCGAAGTTAGACAAGAGCAAGCTAGCCGACGAAGGATGCCGCAAAAAGTTTAGCCAAAAACCCGACGAGGTCAAACACCCGCCCTGGGACACCAACCTCAACGAGCACCTCGCCATAGTCACCGAGCAGATCACGGAGGCTGCGCACGAGTGCTTCCGCTCCCACAGCCGCACTCCACACAAGCCCTACATCACCAAGCGATCCTTCGCACTCCTGCGAGTTCGCCGCTCGTCACTCAAGACGACACGGATCGCCAAGAAAAGCGGGATTGCCAGCCACTTCGGCGACAGAGGCTACGCTACACGGCCAAGCTCATGGCGAAGGAAGCTCTCCTGCCCGACCCCGCCGACGTGAGTGCCCTGGCCGATCTCAGCGACTACGCGAAACTTGTGGTGGCCTCCATCATTTTCAGCACTCCCAGCCTAGCGACCCCTGTCGTGGAACCCAACGAAGTCAACACCGTGCACAGCGCCCAGCACTACTTTGACGCCCTCGTTCAATTCCTCTACCCGAGCCCCTAGAAGCAACCCAGTGCGGCGCCAGACCCAATATGGCCACGGATTTCATCACTCACACCAGCCTCGCCTTCATCAGCGACTGCCAAAGGAGACCAAGATCATGCAGCATCACTTTCCTGGACCTCAGGGAGGCCATCCACTCCGTCACCAGGGAATGTTGCATGCAATTGCCGACCTCCGCCGACGAGCTTAACGAGCTCATCGAACAAATCGACATTCCCGACTTCACCAGACCAGCGCTAAAGGAACGACTTCAGCAGCCCGCCTACAACAACCAGCACATCGACGACGAGCACCTCTGCCACACGATCGCAGATCACCGCGCCACAAACTGGATGACAGCCAAGAGCGCAAGGCACTACCAGCTGCCTCGGACCAGCACCCGACCTGGAATGCCATACTCGGACGTAGCCTTCAACATGCACTTCGCCATCGTGCTGAGGGCAATCGACCAGGCAGTCCGAGAGGAAGAGGCCCACGGTCAGCAGATAGGCGGACACGAGATAGAGGCCTGCAGCGACCCTCTCTTCTCACCGCACCCCCACGAAGGAAGCGCGCTCAGGAACATGTCCTTCGTCGACGACCTCGCGCACTACAACTCGACCGCAAGCGCCAGCGACCTGATCAACACGACCACGCTGGCAGCTGCCAGGCTCTGCGCAGCAGCGTTCCAGCATGGCCTGAAGCCACGCCCAGACAAGACCAAGGCCATCCTCATGCACTACGGCGCGGGGGCCAAGAAGGAGAAACAGCGGATCGCCAAGGAGGGCGTCACATACATCGAATTGGACGGACTTTCTATCAAGGTGCAGCTAGTAATGCAACAAAAAGCCCTCGGTGCCATCATCTCGGCGGGCGGGGTCATGGGGCCAGAAATCTGCCTAAGGGTCAACCGCGCGCCCGGTGCAGCCCGGCCTCTCGAGAAGCAGATCCTCCGCCGCAAGAAGCTCCCGAAGAAAGCCAAGGTGAAGCACGTCCACTCTTTTCCGGCCTCCTCGCTGACATACAACCACCATGTCTGGAGCGACCTGGCCCAGAAAGACCTGACGCATATATCCGCTAAGTACATGGGCCCATGCCGCGTTGCAGCCCCGCTACCCAAGACCAACTCACCCGACCAGCACATCTCCGAAGCAGAGGCAATCGCCAAGACAGGAGTACCCGACTTCATCACTCACCAGTCGACAGCGCGACTGCGATACTTACCAAGACTCCTGAATCATGCCCCAGCAGTCCTACTCCAGCTCCTCGACGGCCAGCGCCAACGAAAGGGCACCTGGAGCCGCCAGCTCAAGAAAGACTTCGACTTCCTACGTGCGCACTTGCCCAGCCAAACCCAGCACGACCGCGGCATCACCAACTGGGCCCGACAGAAGCCCAAGCTATTCACCAACGCAGTCAAGGCAGCTTTGAAGGCCTACATTCTCCACGTTCGCGACCAAGCTCAGGGCGCCAAGCTCCAGCAGGACATCCAGATGATCACCGCAGCTCGCCCAAGTGAAGAGTTGGACCTCTGCGACGACACCAACAAGCAGAAGTGCGTCTGCTACGCCTGCGGCCGAGTCGCCTCCAGGCAAGGCATGTCAATCCATATGGGTAGGGATCATCCAGACCACGAAGACCCGCGCTTCTGGGCTACAGGCACCGCGTGCCGATGCTGCCAGACCGAGCACCACTCTCTCCCGAGGCTCATCAAGCACTTATCGGTGGCTCACCGTTGCCGCAAATCCTGGCATGCCTGGCGCATCCAGACGATGGAGCCCCTGACGGAGCAGCAAATGGCAGAGAACCTCACCGCCATCGCTGAGGCCACGAACGCCAACAAGAAGCAAGGACGACACCCAACCTTCAGCGACAAGCCAGCCCACCCGTGCGACGTTACGCCGCTGCCGCTCCTCGAGACGTCGCCCGTCGCGCCTAAAGTATTCGCCAGACTTGAGTCATCGCCAAGCAGCCCACCCGCGAGCTCGCCTGCAGGACCAGCCGAGCGCCAAGAGGTTGTCTTCATCACCGGCCGCCATCGACAGGCCGCCGACCTCCAGCAGGTCATGGCCAACAGCGGGATCACGAGCACCAGCGGCTTGGACTACATCCAGATCGCAATCCACAGCGATGGCCAGACCCCAGAACCAATGCCAGAACTTCGGCGAGTACAACGTAGGACCCTACATGGCGAGATAGCGGTCATCTACGTAGAGTTCCCACGACGAACCTGGTACCTACATGACGTAAGCGATTTTCTAGGCAGCAGAGCAAGCAAGCGGCGCACCCCGAGGCACCATGGGGGCGCCTCAAGTCTCCGAGACCAGCGCCGACGTGATATTCGCCGCCAGCGGCGTCACACGAGAGGTCTTGCGTATGCTCTACACGGCGACCACAACCAACGTCCCATTTGTCGCAGCCATCTCGGCGGAGTTGATCATCGGGCAGACTCCTGAATATCTGTACATCGCCAACTTGATGACTGTCTACGAGACCCCGACAAGTCACTACGACCTCGGCGCCACACAGATCCTCGACAACGGCGCCCGCGACGACCTCCGCAACATAATGTCCACGGCAAACGCAGAGGAGATCGAATTCGCCATCGCCGGCATGCTCGACGGCAACATCGTGGCCAGATGGGGCCTCAGAGCCGCAACCGTTGCGCCCACCAGCCAGAACCCGAACACCAACGACGCGTACTACATCGAACGAGAAGACGAAGTGCCTCCTCATGCCGAGGACGATCGCCACGATGGGTGTCATCGACGACAAGCTCAAAGGCGTCAGGACGCAAGTCCTGAGGAAGCCCCGAGTGCGTGGGAACACCTCAGGCAGCGTCGCCAAGTTTTGCATGAGGCGTTAGGACGCAAGTCCTGCGGAAGCCCCGAAAGCGTGGGAACACCCCAGGCACAGGTCGCCACGTTTTGTAGTATTGATCAAGGCAGCGGCCGCACGAGCACGAGTTCAGCGGCTACCAGCAAGCCGCATCACACACGCCCTCCACTCTTGCCAAACACCACCGGCCAACCACAACCCACGACCCAAATGACGGCATACCACACCACCCCACAAGTCAACGCTGCCCTGGTGAGGCAAGGATCAAACTTCGAGGCGGGCTCGAAGGGTGGGGGGGCAGGACGATCACTGCCCGCGCCTACCAGGGGGGATGGTGAGGGGCAGGGGGGGGGGGTAGGACGGCCACTTGCCGCGCCCCCGCGGTCCGCCCTTGCTCGCCACCCCCACCATCCCCATGGCGAAGGTGGTGCTTACCCGATCGCCCAAGGGGCGAAGCTGAAGGCAGCCGAGACATCCCTCATCGACAACAGCAGCAAGCACCAGGCCTGGGGTTCGCCCCCACCGAGGGCACCGTGACCCCTAGCCATAGCGGGACGAGGTGGGGCCGCCACGAACCCTACTTGATGTCGGTGCATGGAGGCCTTTCAAGTGCGCCCATAACCCACACCATAACCCCAGCAACAAACCGACCTCCCCACGACCTACCCAGAGACATTCAAGACGACCAACCACAACGTTTGGGACTAACCACCGACCGACCACCCACCCCGCAACCATCACCCAGCCAACAACCACCACCACCTAGACACAACCCGCCCGCTGAAAGGAGGACAGGGGAAGGGTCCTCAGCAGCGTGGCGCGACGCAACCAAGACGGAGCCTGCTGAAAAGGAGGACAGGAGCAGGGTCCTCAACAGCGAGGCTCGACGAGCATGCCTGGGAGACGTCGAAAAGGAGGACAGGAGCAGGGTCCTCTGAACCGACCTCTAGCAGGAACGCCCGCAGAAAGGAGGACAGGAGCAGGGTCCTCAGTTGCGTGGCCGAACAAAGACCAACAACCCTAGCAACTCCACCCCACCAACTACGACCAACACCTCGACGTGACCAGCCCGCTGAAAAGAAGAACAGGAGCAGGGTCCTCAGCAGCGAAGCGTGTTGAACCTACCTCGACTTCAGCTGAAAGGAAGACAGGAGCAGGGTCTTCAACAGCTCAGAAGGCAGTGAACGTCTGGAGGCCGCCCATAAGGAGGACAAGAGCAGGGTCCTCAGAAGCGGTGTGCAGCAAGTACGCCATCAGAGAGGAGGACTCGCCAAGAGAAGGAGGCGGCGCACCGTGCGCCGCGGCGAGGCCGTCCCCAGCCCACGGGCCGAAGGGGGGGCACGGCCCGCCCCCCGTGTAACATACGGGGGCCGCCAGCTCAGCCGAGCTGCCTCGCGGCAAGAGAAGGTCGGGCGCCCCTCAGCTCGCGAGCAAAGGAGGGGCGCCCGTCGCAAAGAAGGTCGGGAAGTACGAGTTCGGGGCCCACCTGAGGCCGTCGGACTGACGGGCTACGCCGCGCCGCCCGTCGGCGCGGCACAGAGCCCTCACTGAAAGGGTTCGCTGAAAAGAGGAGGAGGAGGAGGAGGAGGAGGAGGAGGAGGAGGAGGAGGAGCAGGTGGATGCGGAGGAGGAGGAGGAGGAGGAGGAGGAGGAGGAGGAGGAGAAGGAGGACCCTCTCCCCCTCCAACTTGTGGTGGTGGTGGTGGTGGTGGTGGAAAACAGGCCCGTTATGGGCTGCCCCCCACCCCCCGCGCGCGCGGAGACCGCCAGGTGCCGCGTCAGAGGCGCCGCCAGGGGTGCCCAGCGCCGATCTCCAGGAGATCGGCTGGGACCTCGGGCTGTTGATAGACTTTTCCCTCATTCGGGCCATGGCTATTCGAGCAATGAAAAATTCACGACGGGAGGGTTTTCGCCATTTCCAGCATCTGGGGGCCCTCACCGGGCCTCGGGACCGTCCAAACGCGACTCGGGATGAGCAACCGGTCCTGGGGAATGGGTCGAGACCTCGGGGGGTCGGCGTTATAAAGAAATCATGACGTCGGGGGGCTGGGTCCGTGGCTCAGCTGAATCTTAGCTCGGGGGAAAACAAGGAAACGATCATAAACCGCCCACCAGTCCGCCAGCCGGGCCCAGGGCTGGCGGGGGCGACGCTCTGGTGCCGAGGACGAGCGCCCAGCCCGTCCTGGCAGCACCTCAGTGAAGGGGCCCAGGGACACACAAATAGATATACACAGATCCCAGGATTCCCCATATTTTTACTATTTTCTGGCTGTTCGTCTTCCCCCTGACGTCCCATATGTCCCCTTTTTCTTCGCGCGGGACCGACGAGTACTTGTGTCTGTGCTTGAAAACCTTCCCGAAGGAAAGGCCCGCCGAGAGGGCAGATTGTTGCTGCCAGGTCGACGGCGCCGTCCAGCTGGACCCTGCGGTCCCCAACGTCGCAGGGTTCCGACGCCGCCAACGGACCATCATCTGTGAAGCCGCGCAGTGGACACACGTTTAGAAGTCAAAAATCCACCCCAAGAAGAACCACCCCGACACGCGAAGTCGTTTAGTAAACGCGCCCACAGGGGGATTCAAACAGGGCAGGGCTGTTTAGTAAACGCCCAGGGCCGTTTAGTAAACGCCAATTGTCCGGTCCAAGTGGTTCTTCCTCCCGTGAATGTTGTGTGGCAGGCAGGGAAGCGTAGCCAGCAGCTCACACGGGATTGTGTAAAGACCTCGGCAGTATGGCAACTTGAAGGACGCTGGTGTCGATGAGAAGGGGACTGTATGGGACAGGGGACGCCATCACTCGCTGACTGATGGGACGTTAACTGCCAAACAAGGGAACGAGCCGAGAGAGGGAGGCAACATTTATGCAAGAACGAGCTGGCAAGGGAGGAGCGGGATAGGAATGAAAAGGGACAGGATTAGTGAGGTCTACGGGGCGTCAGAAGGGAAGGTAGGGACGTCGAGGGCCATAAGATCGTTCTCGAACTAACGACCTCCAATGCTTCGACCTGGCGTCAATGCTGTGATGCGTTGACATAGGGCCGATACCTATACTGCACCGTCAGACGGTTGACAGAGCGTGCTACCAACCTACATCTGCTGTCGACGGCGCCTGCGTCCCCGTGTGGACCAGGACTGCGCAGTGTTTCGTTATGCAATTTCCACCCAGAGGAGTGCCTCCTCTTGCGCGTGAGATCCGCGCTATCATTTCAACGCGATCCATAGAAACGGTGCGGACAGTGCTGAATACAGCAGGGCTGCAACCACAATGAACGCCCAAGCTTTCCAGGTGTAGTGCGTTACAAGCAGATCAAGATTGTCGCTGTTGACCCACCTCACGTACATGGGACTCTCTGCAGCAGCAATGCCGAAACGAGCCTCTGCTTTTCGCCTTGCGTGTACATAGTGGTCACGGTTCGATGCAGCAAACAGATCAGGACCGTCCAGGACGACGATCCCGCTGCGTGCGCTGGGATCAGCAGCGTCGTCGCAAATGAACTCGCCAGACCAGCCACAGCAATTTACCCCGGCAGCCCAGAACTCGACATGGGACTTTGCATCCGACGATGGACCACGAATGGGTGCAACACAATACCTGTCGCCCGTCGCATCGCCATAACCCACGGCCTGCGACTGGTCAATCTTCGCGCCAGCCTCGAAGACGACGCGCCCAGCGTCAGCCACGGCCATGGCACTCGTAGAGGGCACGACGTTCTCGTACGTGCGAGTATGGTCGTAAAGCATTGCAAAATAGCCATACGACCCGTAGCAGTAGAGCCCAAGGAAGGCCCCGGAGGCAATCGCGGCCATGCACGATATCCCGAGGGGGGGCAATGACAATAACCCTAGGGGTCTGCTCTCGCGGTACTCTCGAGGTAGCTGTCTGCCAGCGACAACCAGCACGCAGCAAGCCACTAGCGACACCACGGTTGCAGCCAGGGTTGATCCAGGCTGAAAGAACAGGCCAAAGCTGACCAGCACGAGGGTGACAAAGGCAGCCGCGGTGCTCGCCACCAGAATGGTAATGAAATCCTGTTCAGAGCTCGAACTGAACAATGTTCCCGCTTTCGAATTATTCCCGTTTTCCCTGGTTCTGTCTTCGCCCCGCCTCCGCGGCAAAACGCAACCAGAACGAAGTCAGCCGACAAATCGCCCAACAAAAACCGTTCAGCTCGAGCCCTGCTCCTGTGTGCGCTGGAGCCCGCTCTTCCGCTTGGGCGCCTCCCGCGGCGCCTGCTGCGAGGCCGGGGCTTCTGCACATCCACCGAGTGAGGAGGGGGCCGACCTCCCAGGAACCCCAGCGGCAGCGAACCGGCACATGCGAGCCTGGTTCGAGGGCTCTCGGGCCTCCCGGGCCTCCCCCCCCACCGCCCAGATGGGGTGGGGGGGGGGGGGGAAGACGACGACGGCGACGCCGACGCCAGAGACGCCGATGCCGACGCCGATGCCGACGCCGACGGAAGACGCCGACGAAGACGACGGAAGACGTCGTCGTCGTCGACGACGACGAAGATGACGACGACGACGATGACGACGTTGGCGACGCCGACGCCGACGCCGACGCCGAGGCCGACGCTGGCGCCGACGCCGACGCCGCCGCCGCCGCAACCGCCGCCGCCGCCGCCGACGACGACGTCCACCCTCCAGCACGCCACGCCCACAGGGCCACGACCGAGGGCAGTGGAGGGGGGGGCGGTCCCATTAGCAGGACCATGCGACCTTGGTCTCCGCAGGCCCGGCGAAAGCAGCGGAACGTCCACCCTCCACAGCGTCACGCCCCCAGGGCCACTACCGCAGGGGGAGGGGGGGAGCGATCCCATTCGCAGGGCCTTCGCGATGCCCATGCGCGTATCCATCCAGCGGAGGTGGGGGGGGCTCGATCCCAGTACGCATTAGGGAGGCAACCAACGCTGGATGCGCTGACCGACCCCCGCTTGCGGGGGGTGAGAAGGCGTGTTGGTCATCTTTCCATCGCTCGGACGTCCGTTTCCCGTCCATTTGTCTATTTTGTGCGTCCGCTTTCGAACATGATCCAAGATGCTCCTAAGATGCTCCTCAATGGTCCTCGCCGAAGAAGAAATGCACAAGTATGAGCGGTGCCAAGTCATTCGGCTGCCCACTATCCCTCGTTCGCTTGCAGCGCTTCAGGGGAGCGTCTGCAATCAGAGATGCACCAAGGAAAAGCCATCCAGCAAGATAGGGCGACACATGCATGCGAGAAGGTCCAAGAGGCCACTGAGAGGCATCCCAAGATAGTTTCTCTGTCATCCAAAAGGCTCTTGACCCACAGCCCAGGCACGGTGGCGGGTTGGACTGAAGGCCACTCGATCCGCCGCCCCCTGTTGATTCATGACAGGGGTGCCTGGCGTGCTGGATCGAAGACGCCTACGGCGAATCACCGCCGCCCCCTGCTCTTTTGGAAGCGCCTATGTGGCCGACAGCTGGGCTAGAGCTTGGCCAAGCTATCGGGCTAGTTGTTCCCCGAAAAGGTTTCGAAAACCTTCGGGAAACGCGTGGGTGGGCAAGAGGAGGAGGAGGAGGAGGAGGAGGAGGAGGAGGAGGAGGAGGAGGAGGAGGAGGAGGAGGAGGAGCAGGAGAGGGATGATGATGATGATGATGATGATGATGATGATGATGATGATGATGATGATGATGATGCTGATGATGATGCTGCTGCTGCTGATGATGATGATGATGATGCTGATGATGATGATAATGATAATGATGATGATGACGAGGAGGATGAGGATGAGGATTAGGATGATGAGGGTGGAGGACGAGAAGGAGGAGGAGGAGGAGGAGGAGGAGGAGGAGGAGGACGAGGAGGAGAGGAGGCCTCTTGGGCGATCTTCGGGCGATCTTGGGGGCCTCTTGGGCCGTCCTGGGCCGTCGGAAGGCCGAAAAGGTGCAAATGCCAACATCCTTCAAAACCTATGGAAAATCCATGATTTTTGCCTCGTCGGGCCTTCCTAGAGGACTTCTTGGAAGCGTCTTGGGCCGTCTTGGAGGCTTCTTGGGGGCTCTTGGATCGTCTCGGGCCATCTACTGACAGACTACTTTAGGCCGTCTTCGGTGCATCTTTGGCAGTCTCGGAGGCATCTCGGGTTCATCTTAGCCGTCTAGGAGGCCATCTTGGCCGCCTGAGGGGCATCTTGGAGGCCATCTTGGGCCGTGTTCAGCCGTAGCGGGAGAATTGTTCCGAGAATTGGGCACCTTTCGGGTGGCCAGCGGGCTGGGCCGGAGCCCCAGGAGGAGTTCTGTTGGAAATGAACCAAACCAAAACCGAAAGGTTCCAGCACGCCAGGCACCCATGTGATGAATCAACAGAGGGCAGCGAATCTTTCGGTTTTGGATTTGGTTCTTTCCCAAAAGAACTCCCCCTAGGGCTCCGGCCTAGCCCGCCAGCCAGCCGAAAGGCGCCCTGCTCCAAGACAAATTCTCCCAAGACGGCCGACGATGACCCAAGATGGCCTCCAAGATGCCCCCAAGGCAGCCAAGATGGCCTCTCAGACGGCTAAGATGGCCCCAAGATGCCTCCAAGACGGCCCAAGATGCACCGAAGACGGCCTAAGGTACTATGACCCGAGACGACCCAAGAGGCCCCCAAGAGGCCTCCAAGACGGCCCAAGACGCTTCCAAGAGGTCCTCTAGGAAGGCCCGAAGAGGCCAAAAGTAGAGTTGTCCCATAGGTTTTGAAGGATGTTGGCATTTGCGCCTTTTCGGCCTTCCGACGGCCTTCCGACGGCCCAAGAGGCCCCCGAGATCGCACCAAGACCGCCCAACCAAGATGGCGCCCTGACGGCTCTAAGAGGCCCCTAGAGGGTTTTTAGATGGCCCAAGAGGCCTCTAAGACGTCCAAGATGGCCTCTAAGACGGCCCTTTGGCGTTTTAAGAGGGCCCCCAGACGGCCCAGAGAGGCCCCGAAGACGGCTTCCGACGGCGTCAGACGGGCCAGCAACGCCCTAAGACGGCCAACGAGGCCCCCAAGAATCCCCCAAAGGCCCCCAAGAGGCCCAAGGAGGCCCCCAAGAGGCCTCCAAGGGGCCCCCAGGAAGCTCCCAGGAGGCCCTGCGAGTGCCCCAAGAGGCTCCCAAGAGGCCTCCTCCTCCTCCTCCTCCTCCTCCTCCTCCTCATCATCCTCTCCCATCATCCTAATCCTCATCATCATCCTCCTCCTAATCTTCCTCCTCCTCCCTCTCCTGCTCCTCCTCATCCTCCTCCTCCTCCTCCTGCTCCTCCTCCTCCTCCTGTTTCTCCCCCACGCGTTTCGCGAAGGCTTTCGAAACCTTTCCGGGGAACAGCTGGCCCGATAGCTTGGGTAAGCTCTAGCCCAGCTGTCGGCCACATATGCGCTTCCAAAAGAGCAGGGGCGGCGGCGTTTCGCCGCCGGCGTCTTCAATCACTTCCACGATCGTCGCAAGCTCTGGCGCGTCCTGGGCTTCAGCGGAGTGGCGCAAGCCACTTGAACCACGTGCTTGGGCTTGGGGGTGCCCAAGGATACGCACACCCAGACTTGATCGTGCCATGGAGCAGGTGGCGACGGGGAGGGGGAGAGGGGGCCGTCTCGGCCCTGGGGCCCCCCAGGCGCGAGGGCTTCTGAGAAGTCCCGCCGCCTGCTGAGAAGGCCCTCTCCTCCTCGCCTCCCCCGCCCCCCCCCCTCGCTCGCCGCCGAAGGATGCAAAGGCCAGCCCGGGGGGAAAGGGTCGGGCCTTCGGGCCAAGTGTGGGGAACCTGCCGGGCCTCCTGGGGGCCCCGTGCCGAACAGAAGCAAGACACCGTGTGCCCGGGCGTTCGCCGCCTCCCCGAGGCCCCAGGAGATAGCGGCCCCCGAGCGGTGGATGTGCTTGAATCCCGGCCTCGGACCTGCGCAGGATCGATCGGCATCGAATCGGACCATCGCATCGAATCGGAATGCGCGTCGGGTCTGGGGCCGCATTGGCACGAAGCCGAAAAATCGAATCGGATCGGCCACAGTCAACCCGTATAGCAAGGATGAGCGATGAGGATGCAAGGGCCTTGGACGCCTATTTCGAAGCTTTTCAAGCGGAGCGCGGCCAACGAAGGTGGCTAAGGATAGACCGAGGAGGCAAGGATGCAAGAGTACCTTTGGGAAGGTAGCCCATCCTTCTTATGCGGGTTGACTGTACACCAAGATGCACACTGGCGCCACGCAAGCGTTAGGTCGGGCATGTCCTCCTGCAGGCGGATTTTGGACGAAAAATAAAAACTAGTCAAAACATGTTCAGACATTGACAAAGAAATGCTAGAGAAATCGTCCCCAGACTATCTTTGGACTATTTTTGAAGATTCCTCCTGTAGAGGGACACGCCCGACTTAATGCAAGCGTCGGTCCACATGCGGATCGCCGGGAAATCGACATCGAATCGGGTCGGGCTGGTCGACGTCGATGTCGAATCGGATCGGATCGACGTGGGCCCGGCCTGCGTGCCGTACGTCTTCATTGCCCTCCCGTCGGAAGCATCCGGGCGCGGGGCGGGGAGGAAGTACGCCCCAGGCCGTGGGCCGGTCAGCGCTCGGGCCCCTCCCGGGACCGCGGCTGCCTTGGGCCGCGCGGGAAGGACGCCGGGCAGCACGGGCTCGGAGGTTGCCGGAAGTAAGTGTCATGACGGGACGATTGTTTGTTTCCCGCGGTACTGCCCTGTGTGCACTTAGCGCGTCCCATGCCCTCACCCGCCGGGGTGGAGCAACGCTCGTGGGCATGGCGCGGGGTTCCCAGGCCACTTGCAGATTTGGTGCTCGCGCTGTCAATGCTCTGCTCTCCAATGGGTTTGCAGCGTCGTCTGCATCTTGCTTCTGCATGTCCGAGCTCCGTAGCTGCCTGCACGCCCTCCTGTGCTCAGCTGCGTTCTTGCTCTTATGGATGGTGCGCAGGCCTGACGAAGGCTTGAGAGGTCCCTTTCAATGTGTTTCTGTGTAACTTACCATGGCAGTCATAGCGCTGCCTATGCTGCTAGAAAGCGAAACCTGGCGGGCTCGTGTTTACCTGGCGGGTGTAATGACCGAAGGTGTGCCCGAAAATCTGGCCGAGTGTGACCGAGACCTGCGCCTGAGGTTGGCCGAATGTGCCCGAGCAGGGCCGAATTCGAAGCCAAGCCAATGCGACTTCCTAATTTCGGTCACAAGTTCGGTCACGCTACGTTTTCGGCCACAATGTTTCGGCACGCTTTGGGTCACAGCTTTTATTCGGCCACATCCCTTTTCGGCTGATACAGAGCGACATCAGAAGTGTTCCTGGCCCAAGGTGCCCTCCGCTTCTTCGCGCCAGTCGGGGCACCTCTTGGGTTTTCGGGGCCTCGTGAGCGGATGCTCGGGAGGTCATCTGGGACTCCCTGGAGACGCAGGGGCCACCTTAGGCCGAGGTCACCTCCGGCAAGACCCAGAAGGGCTTGGGCAGATGACAGAGACGGTGACGATGGAACAAAGTGGAAGGCGGCGCCTATGATTGCGAGAGCGACAGCAGGCCATGACTTCAGGGCCCGCTCACTTCGTTTTGGCCAGCCCGTGCTTCAGAACTGATCTCCTGGCAGAAAATACATGCACACAGGAATACCAGGTTAGATGCTCGTTGATTATTGGCGTGGAGCGCCCCCGCTGGCAACCGCAAGCAAGCAACAATAATTGAAGGGGTAATGGTTATACAGATCTAGAGTCCCCCTTCGGCATAGTACTTTGTAGAAATGGCTAGATCGGCCCAGAGCCTCCACAACCGTAGCATACTTGCCCTTCGAAGCCTTTGAAAGCGCAAACGGCCCTGCGTAGGGACCTCCAGAGGGGTTGAAGACACTACGGAAAGCACGGATGATCAGAGTCATGTAGCGACAAATTAAAGCCAACGCCATCGATGAACACATTGCCTTGTGCATCCAGATTGTCGTCCAGCTGGACTGAACCAATTGTTTTGGGAACATTCCCCGTGACCCCAAAAGGGGGTCCAGTTGAGAGGGGGGTGGTGCAATGAATTTTGGGCAAATGTATTGCAAATGAACTGCGCCAGAGAATTGCATTGCTGAGTATTGCAACTCACGTATTGCATGCGAAAACCAAGCAGTACATCTGCGCACCTGAATGTCCTGCACGCCCCAAATATATTGCAGCCCCACAAATCCCCAGAGCGCTCCAAGAGAGGGCCATGTTTCGACACCCCTCACGAGGATCGTGGCCTCCGAGGGGGGAGCCGCAATCGACTACCCCCCCCTCCCGCCCCAGGAGGCCCCCAAGAGCCCCCCAAGAGGCCCTGATGGCCCCCACGACGCCGCCATGGAGCCCCAAGAGACTCCCAAGAGGTCCCCAAGAGGCCCGAAAGAGGGCTCCAGGGCTGGCGGAATGAGCGAAACGATTCTATATATATATATATATATAGAGAGATTGCAACCCCACAAATCTGTTGCACCAAATCTACTACATCACCCTCTTTTCGCTGGACCCACCTTTTGGGGCAACCAGACAACGTGCTGCACTGGAGGAGCGGTGCGGGCTGCTGGAGCTGAATGCGATCCGGCGGGGGGGTGCGGGGGGCGAGGTCTCGGGCTCTCTGCTTTTCGTGCTCCTGCTCCTCCTCCTCCTCCTGCCCCTCCTCCTCCTGCCCCTCCTCGTCCTGCCCCAGCTCCTGCCTGTCCCGCTCCCGTTCCCTTCTCCATGGAACAGAAAGTCCACCCCCATGACAAGCACCCCGACAAGTGAAGCCGTTGAGTCAACGCACCGACGGAAGGAATCGAACAGGGCAGGGCTGTTGAGTAAACGCCCAGGGCTGCTTAGTAAACGCGAATCGTCGGGGTCGGGGTGGTTTTTCCACCCTTGACTCTCCACTCTCGCGGAGGAGGCCCCCGAGGGAACCGCCGCCCGCGTCCGATGGGGGTCCGCATGGCCCCCCCGGGCTGCGCCTTGCACCGCTGCCTGGTCCTCGCCCGCCTCCGCGCGCGCGCTCCCTCGCGACTCCCTCGGCTTCTGCCCGCGCCCGCGACCCCTCGCGCCTGCCCCAGGCAGCCCCTCGCCGCCGCGCGGCACCACTCCCGCCGCTCCTGGCCCTCCTCCTCCTCCTCCTCCTCCTCCTCCTCCTCCTGCTCCTCCTGCTGCTGCTCCTCCTCATCCTCCTCCTCCTTCTCCTCCTCCTCCTCCGAGCCACGAAAGGATTCCAAACATCTCTTAACCCATTCAACGCCAGGTCCTTGCTATATATATATATATGTGTGTCATACAAACAAGCTTTTCTCTATGACAAGTAACCGATTCTTGTGAATCCACTCTCCCCACCCCTGCCTTCTCCCCTCTCTCTCCTCTGGGGTCTAGTGGGCCTCAGGAGAGGGATGGGCGAGGAACGAGATCCGTAGGGCTGCAGACCACGCCTGGGGCGGCGGCGTGGCTGTTTGACGCGCGCGCGTGGGGCAAGCGGGAGGAGGTAGCTCGCGCAGGATGCCGCCAAGGGCCCCCTCTGGAGAGAGGGTGGCCTGACCCTTGTCCAGCTTCGCCGCCATCCGCGGCAGAGAATTCAGCATGCGTGTGAAATAGGTAGGGGACCGGCTGTATCTGGCGTCGGCTTCGGCTCTCGTCCAGGGGAGGCTCGGCTGTCGGATGACCACATGTGAACCCGACCCCCACCCCCCACGATGTCTGCGGGGGGGTGCGGGGGTTCACTCCGCTCAGGAGCTACCAGAAGAAGTGAACCCCACACCCACCCTATAAATCGCGGAGCGAGGGGGGGTAGGATTCACATGTGGCCACCGAGCTGTCGCTCGCGCGTGCGGCGCAGCCCTGGAATCCGTCTTCAGAGTCATGCTTCCACCTTCCGCCTTCCTCATCGGAGGAGGAGGAGGAGGAGGAGGGGGAGGAGGAGAGGGGAGGAGGAGGAGGAGGAGGAGGAGGAGGAGGAGGAGGAAGAGAAGGAGGAGGAGGAGGAGGATGGGGGAGGGGGAGGAGGAGGAGAAGGAGGAGGAGGAGGAGGAGAGGGAGGAGGAAGAGGAGGAGAAGGAGGAGGAAGAAAGGGGAGGAGGAGGAGGAGGAGGAGGAGGAGGAAAAGGAGGGATGAGGCGGAGGTGTAGGATGAGGCGGAAGGAGGAGGAGGAGGAGGATGGGGGAGGGGAGGAGGAGGGCGAGGAGGAGGAGGGGGAGGAGGAGGAGGATGAGGAGGGGGAGAAGGAGGAAGAGAATGAGGAGGATGAGGAGGAGGGGGAGGAGGAGGGGGAGGAGGAGGAGGAGGAGAAGGAGGAGGAGGAGGGAGGAATAGGAGGAGGAGGGGGAGGAGGGGGAGGGGGGGAGGATGAGGAGGAGCATAAAGGGGGGGAGGAGAAGGGGGGGGGGAGGAGGAGGATAGCGGGGGAGGAGGAGGGTGAGGGGGAGGGGGATAAGGAGGAAAAGGAGGATGAGGAGAAGGAGGAGGAGGCGGAGGAGAAGGAGGAGAGGGAGGAGGCGGAGGAGGAGGAGGATGGGGGAGGGGAGGAGGGAGGAGGGGAGGAGGGAGAGGGAGGAGGGGAGGAGGAGGAGGAGGAGGAGGAGGAGGAGGAGGAGGAGGAGGAGGAGGAGGAGGGAGGAGGCGGAGAGGAGGGGCAGGAGGAGGAGTAGGAGGAGGAGGAGGAGGAGGAGGAGGAGGAGGAGGAGGAAGAGGAAGAGGAGGAGGAGGAGGAGGAGGAGGAGGAGGAGGAGGAGTGCGTGGCCCGTCGACCTTTCTTCCCGCGCCTCCCCTCGCTTCGCCCCACCAGACGCAGCGAGTGAGGGCGGGCTGGGCGCTGCGCCCTCGTCCTGCTCCCTGCCCTTTCGCTTCGATAGACTCAGCCTTCCAGCAGTGTTCCATGGACGGGGGCTGCGCGTCTTCATTTGCTCGGGTCGGGTCGGACGGAAGGGGGAGTGGGGGGGGGGAGACAGGAGGAAAGGGTGGGGGATCAGCGAATCAGCTCACGCACAATGGAAACCCATGCCAGGAAACACCCCGCTTGCCTCCCAGGGTGCCCTGGGCTTCTTGGGTGTCGATGGATTTGCTATGGAAGCCGTGACGCTACCACGCTAAAAAACCATGGATGTCCTGTGGTCTCAGGGTTGGGCTTCTTGTGGGAGATTTCTTGTGGTCGAGCCCCTACTGTAGCTAAGTTCCCCGGGGCAGCCTGACGCTTTGAAGCGCCCATGCCCCGAGTGTGAAGGCGCCCAGCGTCGGGATCAAAACCAGCCGCATGCAGCAAGTGTCGTGCCCCCCCCCCCTTGCTCGATCCATTTCCTTTCGCGCGACCCGCTCGGGCGGTTTCCCGGTCTGGGATGTCCACCTCGTTCTCGGGCGACCGAAATTCCTGATGTACGTTTGGCGTGAAGCGCCCCCGCCCCATCACGTTGTTGCTCGAAGGTGCGGGCAATAATCTCCCACAAACAAGTTCTCTGTCACTGAAAGAGTCGTCGGTGCAACGGCTGTTTCTCCTCCTCGCTGTGACCACTTGTATTCGGCAAGCTGACACAACAGTGTCGCCATGCACTTTTTCGGGTGATGAATGCATTCTGCTTCCTGTGGCTGCGGTTGACGACGTGCGTTGGCAACGCTTGTGATGCTTTCTGTTCTCATCCATCGTTGTGGTTGGGCCCTCGTCTTGGATAGAACCCTTGATGATGTTCCTTCCTCTCTCTTCTCTCATATCCGTCCCTTCCTCTCCCTCCCGCACTAGTTTCTCCTGCTCCATGGGGTATCGACAGTTCTGAGATGTTATCCGTTTCCCCTGTGTTTGCTTGCTCATGCTGGCTCCTATACGGTGCTGGCCGCCGATCCTTCGGAGCAGCCAAGCGCACTTGTGTCTACCGTGCACGCGACCGTCGCGCCATTCCAGCGCCCATTGAAGCTCCAGCGGAGCGGATCGACATGAGGGTCGAACTCGCCCTCGCGACTCCCGAAGTGCCGCGGAACGCACAATTGTCTCACCGCATTTCTGCGCCCCAGGAACTCCAACGAGGTCGCGCGACATCCAAATCCAACTAGACCCAGCCCGCCGGGGTAGGAGGCATCTAATGCGAGGTCTTCGTCGGAAAAACTAAAGAGGATTACGCCCCCATTGGGGGGCTGTTACGCCAGATTGGGCCGCGGATTAAGCGGGATGAAACCCGATTAAGCGGGATTGAGCCAGATTAAGCGGCACTAAGCTGGATTAAGCCGGATCTCGGACCATGGCAAAACCATACGTTCACCTCCCAGGAGTTGCATACGAACAAACGTACCCCTCTCACCACTTCTGCGCCCCTCCACCCAGCGTGTCAGCGCAGTGCTGTCCAACGCGGATCCAAATGAGACCTCGTCACCCTGGGCCCTGCTATGAGCGTACACCTTTCGTTGTCCTCCTCCTCCGCCTCTTTCTTTCTACCACTCCTCCTCCGTTCTCCCTCCTTCCTTTTACTCGTCCTCCCTGCTCCTCCCCCTCGTCATCCCTTTTCCTGCCCACGCCTCCGCCGCCGTCGCTTGCTTTATTTTTGTTTTCCCTCTCTCTCTATATATAGATACCTCTCTCTCTCGCTGTGTCACTATCTCTCTCTCTCTCTCACGCTCCCTCCCTCTTTCTGATAACACCGCGCCGCTCCCGGAGAGCCCCAAAGTGGTTCACGCCACGACCCCCCGCACGATCCCAGTCAAAGAACCCATGCATCCTGGAACGCAGGGAGGCCCCACGGCTCATCCCCACGCACCCCCACAGCTCCTGGCGCACCTGGCAAGACTTGCTCGCCCACGCTTCTCGCCACCTCCGTCCCCGACCCGCCCGCCCTGCCGACGCATGCACACGCATGCTGGGGGGCCGCCCGCCCTCGCGCAGGGCTCCCAACAGAGAGCTCCGAAGGACTACCGGACAGGCTGCGGCGATGGCACTGGATAGGGAACCTCCGATAAGGAATCTGCCTCCTCCTCCTCCTCCTCCTCCTCCTCCTCCTCCCGTGGGCGCCAGACGACAGGGATGGGGTCTGGAAGCCACTGGAAAGCCAAAAAATCGTGGAGTGGCCATGGATATAGCCGCCGCCCTTATCAGATAGGGAACCCTCCAGGGTCTGAAGCCTCCTGGGCACGTCTACGGCAAGTTCGCCTCGTGTCGACTCCGGCGTTGGTTCCTGACATCGCGGGGATCGTTCAAACTTGAACGATCGGCCGTTCCGTGAACGGCGGATCTTTCAACGACAGGCCGATTCTGGGCCACGGGCGGCGGTCAACCTTACACGCACGCGCTGGGGTAGCCGCCGGTCGGCACGACGCGAACCTGCCGTGCCCCTCTCTCGGGTCGGGCGAAAGGGGGGGATAGCAAAGGGGGGGTTTGAGAATCAGCTCACGTAGCTGATTTCCCGGCGCCCCCCGGCGCCGGAGGCGGCCATGTATCGAGGAATGGGCCCCTCGGTGGGGCCGAAACCAGCTGCATGCAGCAAATTTCGTAACCCCCCCTTTCCCAATCCCCCCCTTTCGTCCGGCCCGACTCTCGGCGGCGAGCCCGGGGGAGAACAGAGAGGAAGCAGGCCTGCTCGGAAGGCTCGGAAGGGCCTCGGCCCTGGGAGCCCTCCCCGGGCCCCAGGGCCGTCAAACCACGCCTCGGGGTCTGGCGGCGAGCGCGGGGGAGAGGCGAGAGGGGGCGGGCCTTCTCGGAAGGCTCAGAAGTCCCCCGGCCTCCTGAGAAGTTTTCTGGGCCTTCCCCGAAGATGCAACAAGACTTCTCAGAGGGCGCGAGGGCTTCTGAGAAGTCCCGCCGCCTCCTGAAACCTTTTCCTTCTCACTGCCCCCCTCTCGCACGTCGCCGACCCTCAGACTCCCAACGTGAGGAAACCAATGCACTGTTCTTCGCCCTCTTCGGCCTCTAGGTGGGCCCTCGCCGGGCCCAGGGTCCGTTAAGCAGCTACTCAGGACGACAAGAAGGTTATGGAGAAAAGGCCGGGACTTCTGGGAATTCCGAGGCGAAGCACATGATACATCAGATCTCTGGCGACGCTCCTGACCGCCCCGCGCGCCCCGGCGGTCTGGGCGAGACTGTGCAGCGACAGGCGGTTGGCTCATGAAAACATATGTGTTGCTTCGAGCGCGCTCCCGACCACATGGTATCCGCACCCTGGACATGATATACGAGAGCAGAAGACTCAGTACACGAACGACCAACATAACATCGGAGAATTGCTTGCCAGCGAGACCAACCTCACTCGTAACAAAAACCGAATCCGGGCACATGCAGAGCGGAACGGCAGAACAGAGACAACGCACAACAACTACGCGATCGCGCATATGGCAGACGGTGTGCGAAGAGCGACATTGCCCACATGACAGACGAGTACTGCTGACGTAAACGACCAACATACACGGTAGACAGCTGAGGCGGCCATGCACGCCGTGTTCCGCTAGCACAAGCAATGCACAACGGACGCGTGCAGGATATCATGTCAGACGGCAGCGACTGATACGCACGACACACTCGAGCGACGTGGCGTACGAGCACGAACTTACGCACGATCAGGTAGAATGCGCACAACATTGACTAATATGAGGTACGGGACGTAACGAGCAGCGACTGATACGCACAAACAAGTAGAATGCACACAACTCACTTAACAGGCATGCGACTTGGTTGTTTCTGGCAGGGATTGGTTGGAGCATCCTGGCTATGCCTTCTGTTTCTATTGATTGTTGTTTTTGCTCAACCAGGCCCTCGGCCCTCGCCTCTGTGCAGCCCAGCCGGAGCAGCCACCTGATGCAGGAGCACTGGAGGAACAGGAGAACGACCTGGCAATGAGCATACTCGCGCGAAATCTGCGCCAGAACGGTTCAAAGGGCCTCACTGGCGACCAAAACTTGCCATCTACCTGGGGCCTCTTCCTCCGAGCATGCAAACTGACACGCTCGCCAAGACAAGCACGGTGGAGAAGGCGAGAAGCGAGATTAGCATCCGATGAAAACGGAACATTGAAGGCACATATACACGGTTGGCGCCCTGGCCGGCAGTCAAACCTAGTGGACGTATTTCAGCTGCATATCAAATCGTACCAAAACCCCCGCGTGGTGTACACGCCCATGATGTTCCTCACTGCATCTTCTTGGCGCCGACGATCTTCTCCTCGCCAATGGCCGAGAGCACAGCGACGAGGATGGAATCGCCATCCTCCTGCATCTTCAAGATGTCCTCGACCACCTTCTTGTCTTCATCGGTTGGCTCGCCCGTCTTCACGAAGGTGGGCAGGTTCAGGTCGTCCTTCGTCTCGCCTGACTCCAGGAGCAGGCTGACTTCGCCAGTGGACTCGTCAGCAGAAAGCAGCTGGTATTCCGTTCGCTTCGTGAAGGGAATCTCCATGTTGTGCGACGTGGGGCACAAATCCTCGTACTTCTTCCCTGTGAAGATGTCCAGCGCCACGATGTGGGCCTTCGCGTGCCCGTGCTTGCCCGTCTTCGACGTGGAGATCTCTGCCACCTTGCAGGCCTTGCCCTTGATCATCACCATGGAGCCCTTGCGGAGCTCTCCGCACTGCTGCGGGTAGGTGTGCGAGGATCCCGCATCGACCTTGTCGAATGTGGGCTCGTCGTCGTCCGCCATGCCTCGCGGCCGCTCGAATATCGGGGCCCCCGCGCCGGGACCGCAGCAGGCCTGTCAATCCGAAAACTAGAGCCACAATGGCTACGGACGCTTGTTTCTGGTCTTTCGGGCAAGACTCCTCCCAACGGAAGCAGTGTACTTCTCAGGGGGGGAGAGGGGGCAACGGGTACATGCCAGCGGTAAGACGCGGACCTCGGGCCAAGGCCGCGTGTCTGCACCCTCTGCGCGGCCAGCGGTCGCGCGGAGCCTGGGACACGAGGGCGCCGATGGAGTCCTCACTGCCGCGGAGGCCGTTGGGGAGGTCCAGGAGCGTGGTGTGCCCCGCCCTGGGCGGCTGCAGGCGGTGCGCGGGCTGAGACGTATAGCTGCTTGTCCGAGCGGCGACAGCGGCAGCGATCACTGACGCGCACGATGAGCTAAGGCGACGTACAGTCAGCCCGTATCAGAAGGATGCGCGGTGAGGTACAAGTGCCTCGGAGGCCCATGTTAACGTTTGTCGAACTAAGCTGGCAAGCGCAAGTCGCTGAGGATGGGCCGAAGGGGCAAGGGTGCGAGGGTACCCTTTGGAAGGTGGCCCATCCTTACTATGCGAGTTGACTGTCTCTTTCCCAATCTCCCCTGCTGCTGGGGACGCCGTGGTGCGCAAACGCTCGATTGCGCCCGCCCTCTGAGCGGCCGGTGGGCCAAGGCGGTTGGCCCGAGCTCATCTCCACAGCTTCTGCAGCACAATGCCGCAGAACAATGAGAAAACACTGTAGCATATGACTTCTTTTGAAGATGCTGGCCTCCAAGGCGCTCCCACGACAGGCGATTGTGTCTTACCGCTCTCCCCCCTTTTTGCCGAGACGGGCCAGTGTGACAGAGTAGGTCTCCCAACACGGCCCAGACAGCTTCCAACATGCTTCTGAGAGGTTTTCAAGAGACCCCCCGAACGCTCCCCAAAGACCCTACCCACGAGGGCGCTTCACCTCTAGGAAGCCTCCTATCTCAGAGGAGGTCTCGAAGATGGCCGAAGAGGCACCGAGCAGCACTCCATAGACACCCCATCGCCAGCGCGAGGCCTCCCAGATAATCTCAATAATCCCACCAGCCCTCTGGGCATGGGTGGTCTAGGATTGTGGATGTCATGACGATGGACACCCTAACAGTCCTGTCACTGAATTGAAGATGTGTTGAACATGTTTAAGAACGCACAACAAACTTCCACGACATGTGTATTCTATGTTTGAAGCAATTTCGACACATCTGAAAATTATCTGGCAGCATGCTTCCTCTAAATTGATCGACTTTCACAAGTCTAGAAGGCGCCTTTTTCAACCCCCTTTCTTCCCCTCTGGGGACAAGTTTATCACTGTTCCCTATTCACAAACACCCCCTCCCCCAGGCGGCCGGCGGCCACCCAGAAACCATGCTCCCACCCCCCACCACCCCTGCAAAAACAATACAAAACGCACTCTGCCTCCGAGTTCGGAGCATGCGCAGCCAACCAGATGCGGGCCCACCCCCCACCATCCCTATCAAAAACAAGACCAAATACACTTGGGGCCAAAGTCTGGAGTCACTTTCGTGAGGCCCTCAAGCACTTTGAATTGTTTTTTGACAGGGACGGCGGGATTGTGAGCACATTGCCTGCTGCGCCCAGGACTACCATCCCCGAAACAGCACAATGCAAAACGCACCTCGCGGCGAAATCTGGATCATGCGCGGCCACCCCGGGATCACTGTGAAGTGGTTTGTGACAGGGACGGCGGGGGTGGTTGCGTATGGCCTGCTGTGCGAAAGCCCACCAGACACAATGATGGGCATTGGTTTTCGACGAGGATGGTGAGCGCCGACATGATTCCCGATGTGTGCTGTCACGTGCGCAGGCGCAGCTGACACTCTGCACGTGCCACGGACATGGCGCACCTGGCGCGGCTGGAGTATGCGGCACACCTGGCGCACGCGGAGGCACGTGGCGCATCTGGCGCACCAGGCATGCCTGGCACGCTCGGGCCCCAAGGGTGCCTGGCGCGCGTGGCGCCTCTGGCACGCGTGGCGCACCTCGCCCCAGCGTCGCGCACATGGGGTCGGTGTTGGTTTTCAGTAGCTGCCCATCCAAAGACGACCGCTGAACATGCTGAGGCTCGGATGTTTTTAAAATGCTGGGAGGGCGGGTGGGAGTGAGCTAGACAGCTTGCTATCTGGAGGGTGTCTTGATCACTGTTCCTTACTAATATACACCCCCTCCCCCAGGCGACCGGCGTCCAACCAGGAACCATAAGGACACCATGACGGCCCGCCCCCCACCATCCCTGTAAAAAACAATACAAACCGCTCTCTGCCTCCACATTTGGAGCATGTGCGGCCAACCCGATGCGGCCCCCCTCCCACCATCCATTTCAAAAGCAATACTAACTACACTTTGGGGCTAAGTCTTGAATCATGGTCGTGAGGCCCGCGAGCACTTTGTATAGCGGGGGTGCCAGCATATTCCCTGCCGTGCGCAGGGCTACCAGTTCTGACAAAAACCAATAAAGCATGCACCTCGCGACTACATCTGGATCGTGGGCGTCCACCACGCGATCACTGTCAAGTTGTTTGTGACAGGGACGGCGGGGGTGGTGACGCGTGGCCTGCTGTGCGCAGGCCCACCAGACACAATGATCGGCATAGGTTTTCGACAAGGATGGCGGGGGCCGACAAGTTTTTCAATGTGTGCTGTCACGTGCGCAGGCGCAGCTGACACACTCTGCACGTGCCCCGAACATGGCGCACCTGGCGCGGCTGGAGTGTGCGGCACACCTGGCGCACGCGGAGGCACGTGGCGCATCTGGCGCACCAGGCGTGCCTGGCACGCTCGGGCCCCAAGGGTGCCTGGCGCGCGTGGCGCCCCTGGCACGCGTGGCGCACCTCGCCCAAGCGCCGCGCACATGGGGTCGGTGTTGGTTCCCAGTAGCTGTCCATCCAACGACGACCGCTGAACATGCTCAGACTCGGCTGCTACGTATGTGTTGGGAGGGCGGGTGGGAGTGAGCGAGACGGCTTGCGGGCGGGGAGGGAGTCTTGACCCCTCCCCCTACCCCCTCCCCTGGACCTGGACGGGGCGTCCCGCGACGCGCCGCAGCGTCCGAGATGGCCCAAGACGGCTCCTAGAGCGCCTCGGAGAGTCCAAGATGGTCTCCAAGATGGCTGGAGATGCCTCAAGGTGGCTCCCAATATGCTCCAGGAAGCCTCAAGGCCGCTCCAAGACCCGTCCACGTGGTCCGACAGGGCCGCCAAGAGGCCCAAATCCTTCAAAGGGGGGCGGAAAGGGGGTGGGGAGGAGCGGGGTCTGGCTCCAGACCTCTGCGCTCAGCGCGACTGTCTGCAAGGAGTGCTGCCTCTGGGGGAGGCTCCGCCAGCTCGAAACAGGCGCCAAACAACAGCCAAGATCTACTCCATGGGGGGGGAAAGAGATTTTTGGGGCCCGCGCCGATCGGCAAAGCAATGCATAAAACAACGATCACAAGACCTAAGGTAAATCGCTATGTGTTACATTCTCGCCTTTTCGCATCCGATGGCCATCCGAGGCCTCAAGGTGGCTCCAAGATGGCCCAAGGGGGCCCCAGGAGGGGTCCAAGAGAGCCCCAAGACGACCCCCTGAGCGCTCGAAGAGCGCCCCCAAAGGCGATGGGTTGGGCTCCCGAGGGGGGGGGGGGGCCTACTTGAAGCTTCCCTCTTTGTTGATCGATGTCTCCCAAGATAGCCCCAAGAGCGCCCCTAAAGCTCGCAGGAGCGCAACAGGAGGCTCCGAAGAGGCGCCCGAGCGGCTCCCCGAGGCGCCCAGAGGGCCTCCCAGAGGCTCCCGAGAGATCCGCAGGAGGCCTCAAGAGGATCCCCGAGGCACCCAAGACGCTCAAAGACGGCCCTAGGCTCGCCAAGATGCCCTGCCAGACCCTCCCAGGGACCTCCGAAAAGCTTGCAAGCGACAGCGGAGGAGACTCCGAGAAGCTTCCAAGAGGCATCTAGATCTTCCGGGTATCCTTTGCCTCCTCCTCCTCCTCCTCCTCCTCCTCCCCATCCTTCCCCTCCTCCGCTTCCTTCTCCTCCTCATCCGCTTACTCCTTCTCCTCCTCCCGCCTGCCTCCTCACCCTCCCCCGCCTCCTCGTCATCCTCATCGCCCTTTTCCGCGTTATCCTCCTCCTTCTTCCTCCTCGCCCTCCTCCTCCTCCTCCTCCTCCTCCTTCTCCTTCTCAGCCTCCTCCTCTTCCTCCTTCTCCTCCTCCTCCTACCCCTCCTCCTGTTCCTCCTCCTCCTCCTCCTCCTCCTCGTCCGACTCCGACTCCTCCTCTTTCTTCACCCTCTTGACGACAGTTCTTCCATCCCTGTGTTCCTCTGTACGCCCCCCCCACGTCCTTGACTCATGGCAGGTCTTCAAGGCACCGTTTCTGGATGGTCTGGGGGGGATACGCGAAGCGTCAATACATTGGAAGCTCCTGAAGGGTCTGAGCTGGATGGGCCCGAGGAAATCGCTCAAGACCGGAGGGGAGGGGGCGAGGGCACGACGCGCGAAGCGAGATTCATGTCGCACCCCCGCGGGTTTCCCTCTTCCCGGTCCGCCATGTCCCGCTGCCGACCGCCAAGAGGCACGCCGCGGCACGTGCATCTTGCCGCTGCGGCGCTGTGCTCACGCCAGGATGATCCGAGGTGAACCTGGAAAAAAACCACAAGCTCCCGATCGCTCCCGACCTCCACCTCCGCCCATCTGTTAACGGGCGAAGAACGGTATAAAATAAACTGTTTCGCTGTCGGGGGCGCCTGTCCCAGGGCGGCTGGAAAGTTTATACCCTTACGGTGGCACCGTAGGGGTATAAACTTTCCAGCCGCCCAGGGGCAGGCGCCCCCGACAGCGAAAAAGTTTATGTGATACCCTTTTTCGCTCGCTGAATCTGCTTGTTCCCACCCGCGCCCCAGCAGGTCCCGACCGCACCTCCCCAGAGAAATTCTTCGACCACCACCGGATCCGTTTCCCATGGCCCCGGAGGCCCGATCTCGTGCCCCCCCCCGCCCCCCCCCCTGGAGACCGAGACCGGGGAGCACCGCCCAGCCCGGGAGAGGTCCGCTCCTGGGGAGGGCCGGCTTCCTGCCCGAGGCCCGCAGAGGGGGGAGCACCCCGAGGCAGGCAGGCCACGGGGAGCCGAGGGTCCTGACGGATCTCTCCCCCCCCCGCCCGCCCTCCGCCCCCTCCGCCAGGAGGGGCCAGAAGGGGGGAGAAGGGGGGGGGGGGAGGGGGAGGGCGCGCGTGCAAGGGAATGCGAAGTGGGTGGGGGGGGGGGGGGCAATTCGGGCAAGAACGTGGCCGCAGCAGAGGACGAGGGGAGGGGGAAGGAACTCGCAGGGTGCGGCAAGCGGACGCCAACTGAGAGCTCGACCCGCTGGCTGGTGCCCCAAGGAAGTGCACGTGCTGCTTTGCTATAATCTCCCGATGGCCCGGGAGCAGCAGAGGCCCCGGGGCAGCCCAGGAAGCTGGACTTCTTACGGCGAGATTTCTCATCGTACAGTAGGGGCTCGACCACTTCAAACCTTCCACGAGAAACCCAGCCCTGGAACCCCGCAGCGCGTTCCGCCTCAAGCACCAGTGACAACGCCTACATGGAGGCCCCGCCCCACATCGGCACACCCTTCGAATGCTTCATGGCCCCATGAGGAGACCCCCCGAAGGCAATACCCGCAACGACGGTACTCACAACTGCATATGTTTGGGCCAGTCGCCAAGATTGTTGTTTTTATGTGTTGCGATGTTTGTTCGCTTTCCCACCAGCGGTCAAAATGGCGGAGGCCAACGCGCTCCACCGACTAACAAAAATCACTCTGTCGGCCACCTCAACCGCCGCCGTGATCAAAGATAAGGTATCAAGCGTCTAGTCAAGCATTCTTCCTACTCTGGAAAGGCCCGCCCACGGGCTGCGGCTTGAAACACCCAGAGACCATCCTGCTGGCCTCCGTGTGATCGTCGGGGCCAAGAAGACCTGCGGGATCGTCCCCAACCCCCGAAACATACACCTCCATGTCGTTTTGGTAATATACGCTTCCAGCGTTAAATCCGCGCCACACGGTCGACCAAGTCACGGTGATCACGTTCGCTCCATTCTCCAAGGAACACACCGCGGTAAAGAGCTTCGTGCGCTTGCGGAAACTGTTCTTCGTGGGCTCCGCGATGGTGCCGCGAGGACGCGTGATCTGGCATTGCGGCACCAGCTGGACGAAAGCTGCTGGATCAGCGGTGGCATTAGTAGACCCCGACGGTGTGTTGACGATCAGCCCCATGGTGGCAGTTTCGTTAAAGACATCGCTACCGACCGACAGCTCCAGAGAAGTGATATTGCTCCCCAACTTCTGCCCGAAGATCGACACTTTACGGATAAGGAGGTCGTCGCAATCTTTGAGTCCCACATCCTCAATAGTTGCATTGACGACCAAGTCCGCAGCTTCTGTATTCGACGGGTCGAACCCCCTGGGAATTCCAATCAAATTCCACTCTCCAGGCAGAGTCACGTGGAACTTCTCGCCTAGCGTGTTGACCAACTCAGGGTCCAGTGCGGACACGACGTGGGAACCCATCAACTGCATAGACTCCTGCGGGCCCGTGATCTTCAGACCACTGACTGCAGCGATAGCAGCTGCGCCGAGAAACCGCCCGAACATATCGGGAACGAGGTGCTCTGAAACGGTAGCGGAGATGTTGACTGTTCGGGGCGCTTGGGCAAAAACGACTTGAGCCCAAAACGGCTTCGGCAGAGTGTGAGGCGACTCGGTGACCAGTACCAGGGTAAAAGAAAAGAGTTGGAGCAAGTGATGGACGACTGCGCCCACACGTTTCGGGAAGTGACTCGATCGTCTCGAGAAGGGCAACGATGTACTTCCAATATGCATAAGCATCGATTCTGCGAGACACGGGGGCGCGCAAGAAACACGAGATCCGTACAATTGTCCCTGATGTGCCTACCTGGTGTTCGCAACTGGCTACACTACCAGGCACGTGCGGCAACCAAGTGTGCTGCCGCCGGAGGACGCGGGAATACTGATGTGCAGGGCTGGCGCCACTGCGATGTGTCGAACACGTGAGAGGACAATCTGATTCGCAAGGGACTATCCTCGGGAGTGGGCGAACGCATTCCTCCTGCAAGAGTGATGTGACGGGCGGCGGACACGAACGAGTATGGCCCAACTGATGACTGCTGGCGTCGAGGTAGAATGCTGGCGTGAAGAATGTAATGGCAATGCGCGTTCGACTTGCGGAAGTAACAACATAAGAACAAAGGAAGGCGGACAAACATGGAACCAAACGCTTGCAATAATCGGCAAGGCCTCGAGCCAACAAATACTTTGGACGGATACAATATGCTGACCCCCCTGAGGCACCAGGCTGTGAACTTCTGCACTACATTGTTACAATATCCCTCCCTGCTTCTTTTCCTGTCGCGCTTCTACTGCGTACTGGGAGCATCCACGACACAGCATCCCAACAGCTCTCTGGTCGTAGTTGGTTTAGCGGATCCTCTCTTCAAAACCCATCCTCCATCACAAGAGGGGTTTACCCCTCCCTCTCTCCAACGCCGGACCACTCAAGCCTGCGGA